CATTGTCTGAAAGGATGGATTGTAACAGGGTGCAGCCAAGAGGGGGCCCCAAATAGGGATTTGGAATGGGGCCCAGAACTCAGGGTGTCCAGGAAATATTAGGATGTCCTCACCCGCCCTCACCCCCACAGGTGTGGGTTGGGGGAAGGGACACATGGAGCAGGGCCATTGAGAGCTGTTTTGCATAGCAACAGCTTTGTAGCTAACCTCTGGTGTGATCATTTAACATATCTATAACCTTTACCTGGTTGCATAGATATGTTAAATGGCTGTGGCCATGCTCTGAGCCAGGGGGATGGAAGTAACTTCCCCACCAAGAAGTAACTGGGGGGCAGGTCCCCTGAGTTACAGCACCTGCGTGGGAGCTTAGAGAAGATTGGCTCCATGACATGAGGCCACACCTGCCCAGACTCAGGATGGCAGCCCAGTGAAGCTGGAAGGATATGAGAGTGCTGGCAGGTGTAACTGATTGTAGGAGGAGTCGGAAATGGGGCTGCAGAGGAAGGTTGGCGTGGGGATTTAAACCCAGACACAGCTGTGGCAGTGCAGAGAAAGGACCACAGCCATTGCGCAGGGCGAGAACCACTCAGTCTTTAGCAGAGTGGGGACTCCTGAAGCCCTGTGAGAGAGAACCACCACTCAGCTTTGGCAGAGTGGTGACCCCCCTCCTTGTAGCCATTGAGGAGGGAGAACCATGCGGTTTTGGCAGAGTAGGGACTCCTGCAGCCATTGTGCAGAGAGGACCATGTGGCTTTGCCAGAGTGAGGACCCCCGCAGCTTTAGAAGGGGGAACCAGCACCTAGCTTTAGCAGAGATCCTGGTGACACAGCTGATGGTGCCGGGAACCGAGGGAGGCCTACCAGCTGAGATGGATTACTGGGAAGAACTAGGGGCTGCCTGAGTCATGGACTTCTATTTCTTTTCCTGGGATATGGTACCCCAGACTGGGCAAAGGGGGGAAGGAAGGACTGCGTGTGTCTGTGGGTGTTTTAAGGGTCTTTGGGATTTTGATGAAGACATTAGGTCACTACTTTAAGTCTGTACAGCATTAAATAAACATTTCCTTTCCTTTTCATGAATCTCTGGCATTGAGAGACGTCTTTTCTCTGGCAGCGGACATAACAAACCTGGGGGTTCCTTTTGTCCCAGCCCTGCCCCCTTGTTGTTCTGTAACAGTGTTTGTAGTAACACTATTAGCTAATTTATTATTTTATTATAGTATTAGAACACAGTATTAGCTAAATTGTTTTAACTTTAAAAAAAAAAAGGAAAGACAGCAAGCATATAACTCACGGCTGCCACTTGCTCACCTCTGGCATGCCACAAGACCTCACCCACTAAAAGATTCCCACCTCCAGGACTGGGGGACCACGTCATCCACCTCCTGACTGAGCCCAGAGCGACCTCAGTGTCACTGCCAGCAGAACAAGAAGTGCAAAGGCAGTGAGGAGGAAGACACGCACTTTGGTAATCAGACTCTACATTCCCTGTAGCTAGCTGAGGCTGGGGTGGAGATGGCGTCAGTCTTCACGAACCACTTCAGAAGCAAAAGCTCAATTATATTCATGCTTCTAATTATCTGAAGGCAAAATGGCTTGGTCCCTTGCTCAATGAACCCCTACTCCATGTGGCCTTGGTAATGTCTGGGGATGGTCCCTCGTCCCCAGATGCTCCAGAACTCTGCCTACAGACTCCTCCTGGAAGAGCCTTGGAGAAAAGATGGAGAGAAAGGGGACCGGTCTCATTCGTTTTGCAGACCGCCACGTTGCTTTGGGGCCAGCGTCTCGGTCTCCACAGTGGTCAAGGAGGCGGAGCACCGGTTCCGAGACAGCAGACAGGGCTCTCCGTGTTTTACAAGTTACCCGTCAGTGTGAAGGATCGGTAAGTGGGAGCAAAGTCTCTTCACGCCCCACACCCAAGTGCTCAAAGGGAGGGTTACAATCTTGATCCACCCAACATTTTATAGAAATGTTATGGGACATATTTTATATAAATATTATTTAGTAACATATGTAGTTCCAGCAGGTTTCAACCAATCTCCCAGCATTTGAATGCATGCTGCTAAACTTACAAGAGAACAGTCCCTCTAAATGTTTCCATGGGGTGCCGTGCCCAAGACAAGCGGAGGAAAGGGGAAGTAAAGGGCAGCTTTAAAGCTCTCTGCAAATCACACTGAGTGCATTCTAAGTTGTCAACGTTAATGAATATAGTTCTGGCCTGTTCTGTGAGTTTTCCCATGTACAGCAGGTTTCTTGAATAACATCATTCAGTGTAACGGCATTTGGATATAATGTTGACGAGACACCACAGGCAGTTAAATCTTGTTTATATCCATTAGCCTGGGTAAGCCTGCTTCCCCTCTGTGACATTTTGCCGCGTCTCCAAGAACCTATTGATGAAGCTAAGTGAGGACCTACTGTAGTTTCTTTCGTGTGTGGTAAAACATACATACACTGAAACGTACAGATTGCTACATCACCCCTTAGGCCTTGCCTTGACCTTCAGAATTAGAGCGTGATTTATGTCAGTGGACATTCCTTTGGCTCCTTTGTTAAAAATTTAACTCTGGATCAGCTCTGGACTCTCTGTGCCATCGACCTGTCCATCCCCTTATGAAAACATCCCACTGTCTTAAGAACTAGCTTTATAGTAGTGAGTCTCGAACTCAGTTCATGAAATCCCTCAGCTGTGTGGATCTTTGTTTTTTCAAGACTGTTTGGGCTATCTATGCATTTCTTGTAAGTTTTAAGACTGGCTTATAGTATCTTTTTTAAAAAATTTCTATTGCATTGAACCTGAAGATAAATTAAGGGAGAATTACTATCTTAACAATACTGTGTCTTCCAAACCCTGAAATGGTACCTTTTCCTCTTATTTAGTTCTTTTTTTGTTTTGTTTTGTTTGGCAATATATTTGTTTTTCATTAAACAGTGCACGTCTCTTGTTAAATTCATTCTTCAGAATTTTACGATTTTTGACACTTTGTAAAGCAGTTTATAAATTTCATTTGTCAGTTGTTTGTGGTTAATGTATAAAAATATATCACTTTTATATATCAATGTTGTATCCAGAAACCTTGCTAAATTCAGTTATGAGATCGAGCAATGTCTTTGTAGATTTCTTGGGATTTTTCACATAACAATCACATCTACAAACAGAGTTGGTTTTTACTTCTTCCTTTCTGATCTTTTATGATCTTTTATGATCTTTCTGATCTCATACATCTTTTATTTCTTTCTTGACTTATTGCTATGGCTAAAAACTCTGGTACAACGTTGAACAGAGGTACAAAACACATTTGCCTTATTTCCCAGTCTCTAGGGGGAGGAAGTTCAGTCTTCTAACATTAAGAAGAATGCGTTTTTGTCGCCTTTCTGAGGCTGAGGAAGCCGCCTCTATTCCCAGATTGCCAAGAATATTTATGAACGATGTTGGACTTGACTACATGCTTTCCCTGTAGCTATGATCTATTCCCTCTATCGATGAGGATTATTTTTTTCCTCCCTTCTTTGACTAAGTGCTGAATCACACACAGTGACTGATTTCCAAACATTCTCCATTCCTGGAATAAACCTTTATCAGTTGTAAGGCAGTATCCATTTCATGTATTGCTTGGTTCTATTTGTAATATGTTGCACCTCTGTTCATTCGATGATCTATCACTTTCATTTCCCGTGTTGTCTTTCTCAGGTTTTGCTGTCAGGGTGACACAGCATCGTCACTGAGTCTGACGAAGCTACTCTGCCATTTCAAGAACCAGGGCCCCGAGCACTGACTCTGCCCACGAGGGGAGAACCAAAGCCATGGTTCCCACGCAGTCACACCTCCAACATCTCTGCCTACCGAAGAGTGAAACCACTGGAGGTGGATTTTAAGACATCGTTTTGGCCTCAGAGCCCCAAATTCCTCTACATTGGCACGTTGCATGAGGCTGTGAAGAGAAAAACTCAGCTTGAACCCAGCCCCACCACCTGATCCTAACTCCCGTGTGAAGGAGATGATGCTGATGCTACCAGCCCTGTGTGGCGGCCGTGAGTGTGAATCACACTAATGCGTGCAAACACGTGGCAGTGCCCGGGCCCGGGTAAACACTCATCAGAGATGGCTCCACCTTCGTCACCCTTCAGTGCTCGGACTGTGTGAAAAATTGGCATCAGAGTAAGACTTCAGAGGCTCTAGCCTAAAGACGCAAGGCCGCTTTCTGTCCTTGATTACGATTTAATACCCCTTTTCTGTGGGGAGGGGCAGGAGAGGGTAAACTGTTTGAGAGCAACACTCCCCCCCCACCTGAAGGTGGTCAGGGTCTCCCAGGAGGCCTTACGAACTAAGGCGCCCACTTTCAGACGCTCCCCAGTCTGACTCCTCAGACGGAAGCGATCTGCTGACAGCTCCGCCAAAGGGACATGTGTTCGGCCTCCTGCACAGAGCTCGTTAGACCCTCTTTGGTCTCCCTTGTCTAGTGGACAAGAAAGGCAGCGAGGAGGAAAAGCTCTAAGGCGGAAGAAGTTCTGAGACCTCCAGGCGAAACGATGGTGCGATCCACTTCAGACAGGGGACCGGGCACTTCCTCCGACTCAAAGGAGATCATTTTCATTCCATACTTCAACCCAGAGTTTTGTGGGTTTTCGTTTTGTTTTTTTTTTTACTGAGCCACTGAAGAAAATCAAAGGCTTTTGACTTTGAACATCACATAGGCCACCAAAGAGAAAGTTTTTGTTTTAATGCAATACATAAAATTACGCCTAAGCTCTGCTCCAGGAGAAGGGGGGGCCATCCTGATGGGCTCATTTTGCGGCGGCAAACATAAAACACCCTCTCTGCCGCAAAGCCGAAAGAAAAGGGAAATAAAATTTTAAAGAACCTGTTTATAAGAACATCAAACAGCAAAACAAAATCACTTACTCAACATAGCTACATGCACAGCTATCAGAGGACTGGGCTAAAGATGCGGAGAAGCAGAGGGTGTTATATAATCGGAATCAACGATCGTAAATTCTTACCAAGGCTTCATGATCTTCTGCAACTTCTGGTATCGCCTGCAAAATTGAAGAACAATCATGTGAGGAGCAGGTTGGACGGTGATGACTTTCACACAAATTACGTGTCTTGAAGAAAGACCTGGCTGCCGTGATGTAAGGGAACCTTACCCACGCCGAACCGTTATTCAAAGAAATATACTGGTGTTCACTAATGACAAGAAACAATCAAAAGACAAGATTAAACTACTGTGACCAACCCATGACATTTACTCAGGAGTAAAGGCAACGAGAATACTCCACTTGCCTCAGAACGGACTTGAGTCCAAGGCAGAAAAATCCCGAGAGGTAAGAATGGGTACATTTTCAATGAAAAGGGTGAAGCCCTAACAACCAGACTGGTTGTTCTTAAACATATCCTCAATAAGGAAGACATTGTGGCCTTTCTTGGGTAAAATGCCCACTGATTTTACTTTCACTTTTCTTGAAAGAAAAAAAAATCTGAAGGCAGACATGCTGGGACCCTGCAATAGTCTTGGACAACAGATGGGACACCGGGGTGGTAGCCTGCAGAAAAAACAAGTGTGCAGGAGACAAACCTTGTCTGCAAAAAAGGCCAATGATGCTTCTTAAAACCCTGGGGTCACGAAGACAGGGGAGCAAGTGCTTCCAACCTCATCCAGCCACCTGCATTCCCCAAGGCTGCCAAACCTCTCTGGCATGAAGTACCTTCTTCCCTCTGCACTGCCTACACGACCCCTCCTGTCCAACCAGCTAAGTCCTGCCTCTGGAGCCTCGCTCTGATGTCCCGTCCTTGACTGGAAGGAGCCCACCCATGTCTGTCCGTGCTGAGACATCTCACTGTCTGCCCCGCTCCCTGAGGGCAGAGCCTCTGCACTGTGACCCACCCCTCTGATGCCAGGCGCATGCAGTCGGGGTAGGGACTCGGTAAGGGGTTGCTGAATAATGTGGCTCTTCAACAGTTAAGTTTCTGCCCTGGCTGGCGTAGCTCAGGGGACTGAGCACGGGCCGAAACCAAAGTGTCCCAGGTTCGATTCCCAGTCAGAGCACATGCCTGGGTTGCAGGCCATGGCTCCCAGCAACCACACATTGATGTTTCTCTCTCTCTCTTTCTCCCTCCCTTCCCTCTCTAAAAATAAATAAATAAAATCTTTTAAAAAATGGCTTTGTCAAAAAAAAAGTTAAGTTTCACATTTGCAACCACATACGATGTAACCAACCACTTCAGAAACCTAACTGACCACACAATCAGATCTGGTTTTTGGTAAAACTGGGGGATTAGAAATGTATATAAAGAGATATTCCTCTTCCTTCCCCCTCCTTTACTTGTCCTTCTTTTTAAAAAAAATGAGTGTCCCTGGCTGGCGTAGCTCAGTGGATTGAGCGCGGGCTGGGAACTAAAGTGTCCCAGGTTCAATTCCCAGCCAGGGTACATTCCTGGGTTGCAGGCCATAACCCCCAGCAACCGCACATTGATGTCTGTCTGTCTGTCTGTCTGTCTGTCTCCCTCCCTCCCTCCCTTCCCTCTCTAAAAATAAATAAATAAAATCTTTAAAAAAAAAGCTAATGTTTAAAAAAAAAAAAAATGAGTGTTGACTTCCTTCCTCCTTTGAAGAGCCCTGGGCAGGGTGAAGGAGCAGGTGGCCACTGGGGGGCAGGCTTGAGCACAAGTGGGCCCTCTTGGCAGGACTGACATCACCTTCCACTCAAGGACCTGCGCCTCCTTGGAGAGAGGACTCCAGCCAGGGCTGGGGCAAGGACCGATCTGGGTAAGTCTGGACGTCTCGTGGAGACAGAAAGTAGAGAAACGGTCCAAGAAGAAGGGCAGACAGGTCAGAAGGACAAAGAGCACAGTTTGAAGATGGTTCGACAGCCAAACCTGGGACAAACTGAGCATCAAAGTAAATAATAATGGTGACAGATTATAGCCCATTGAAGAAAAAACAGGAACAAATAAGTCCCCATTGTTTTCTAGACAACGTGCCGGTATTGTTGGAGAGCCAAGTCTCTGGGGGAAAACAGACCTCATTGGTACGATTTTCCATGGTGCAACTACTCCAAAATTATTTATTCATTGATCACAAAGGGGGGGCATTACAGTGCCAACACCTGGAAGATGCTATGTTAAGCGGTCAAAGGGAAGACCAGTAATGAGACAGAAGCCTCATGTGTGTGTGTCATTAATAGGGTGCAATTAAAAACACGCACACACACACAAGCATCTGGGATATCCCAGCCAGAGACATACACATAGGTCTAAACTTTGGGTAAAACTGGGGGCGAGTGTTTCTACGGAAAATCACGCAGTGTCTGCATGGAGAGCACACTCCTGGGTTCCCCCACTGCAGCCTTATCGTCCAGCTGATGCGTGTGCACATGCTGTCCTGTCTGTTAGCAATCTGACTTCTTCCCTGAAGGTGAAAAACCCAGTTTTGTCTCCGTTTGCAATTCATTTCAACATTCCTGGGCTCCAAATAAAGTTGAGCCCTTTTAACTTTTCCTTTGAAATGGTGAAAACATTGTGCCTGATTCTCTCGTTTCCCACGAGTGAAATGAATTCTTTTAACATGTGTTCATTTTTATGTACAAGCCATGCTTTTATCTAATTCCTGAAAATTACCTTTAATAAGTGACCTTTGAGCAAACCCAAACTGGATAGTCTACAAAATGGCTGACCTATGTTCTTAAACAGCGCCCAGGTCATCAGTGAAAAGAGCAACGAAAGGAGTTCCAGACGGAAGGAGATTGGGAAGAGATGGCCAACTGCATGCAAGGTGCTGCCTTCAGTGAGATCTTTGTACTGATATTAAAGGACACAAGTGGGAAAGCCGATGAAACTTGACCTCGTGACTTTTCCCTTCAGTGTGTGAATGCTAAATTAATTAAACCAGGAGGTCAGTGGACGGAGGCAGTGCTAATGCCTTGGTGGCCTATGAAAGCCAACCCAAAATTTAAGCCAGTCATTGCCTCAAGATTTCAACCAATCACAGCCAACTAGGCTTTAACTGTAGCCAATCAAATAATTTCCTTGTATTGCTCCACCTCTTCTCTATAATAGCCTTTCCCCTGGGGCAGGGGCATCCAACCTGCGGCCTCTGGCCCAGGATGGCTGTGAATGCGGCCCAACACACAATCATAAATTTACTTAAAATATTGTGACCTTTTATGTGTGATTACGTGTCACAATGTATTTAATGTGTGGCCCACAGACAGCAGAAGGCTGGACACCCCTGCCCTGGGGCATCTGCTGGGGCAGAGTCCCTAACCACCTCCAGTTTGGTGTGATGGATTCGAGTTGATTTTTGCTCAAATAAATTCCTAGAATTTTATTATACCTCAGTTTATCTTTGAATGGAAACATTTCAAAATAAATCATGTGAAGCGTGTGTGTGTGTATGTAAGTCATACATAAAAGTAGTCCCTGAAATTTTTCAAAACTGCCTTCTGGCCCAGGTGCCTGAGTGCCCTCGGGTTTCTGTGTGTGTCCCACCTTCCCGGCCGCCCTTGGCCTTGGCTAGTTGCCCCTGACCAGAGAGCAGAGAGAAATTCGGTGCCGTGTCACAAGTCACGGTGTTTTCCTTCTCAACTTCCTCCCGCCAGCTTCAGGTGAAACAAAAGCAGAAGAGGAACTATCTTGTTGCCATGGCTGTTTTCCTGAGGTTCTTTTCTCTTTGGGTGTCACGACACCCCTTTCTAAAGCAACGGGACATGAAGCACAGATGTTTCTGGAACGGCTGATGTTTCAGCGTGGCCCCACGCCCCTCCTTCCAGCCCAAGAGATGGCCTTCTTTCACAGCAGAAGACAATCTCTCCGATCAGGCTGGGGGAGGCTCCTCCTTTCCATCCCGGGAGAGAGGCACAAAGACACAAACAAAGCAAACAGTGGTGGGGCGGAGGCAGATCGAGTTTGGGGAAGTTTCTGCCCTGGGGCCCCTGACAAAGCCCTAGAAGGTTGGCCCTGTTGGCGTTTGTGATGCAAATACGAGTGGGGCCCCAGCAGGCAGCTAGCTCCCCTGAACTCTTGCAGCCCTGCCAGGTGCACGTGCCAGCACCGCAGGCAGGGGGCGCTGCACACCCGCTGCCATGTAGCTGCTGGGCCCACAGGCCACCACCCGGAGCGGTTTCTGTCAGGCAGGGTCTGGGGAGCTGTTTGCTCTTCCAAGGTGAAGTGCAGGCCGTGCACCCGTGACCTGCACGGGGCCTCCCAGAACAGCCCAGGTCAGTAAGCCACACCAAATTCTCAGAAGCAAGAGCATGAGTGACAGCCAATAATCCGTGTCTGTAGGGACAACAGAGTGACTTTCAACAAATAAATTCATCTTCGGTGTGAGGACAAGATTTCAAAGGAGGTCACGCGCAGTCCGAAACTGTCAGCTGCCGCTCTGTATAGCGCCCCCCACCCCCGTGTGCCTAACCCAGGGTCAGGAGTGTTGGGCACTCAGACAACACCCCCTTTGCTAAGTGAATATAAACCCACAGATCCATTCTCGAGGGTGAGCTCTGGGCCACATCAAGGACGAGTCATCGTACAGGAAGCCCACCGCCAGGCACACCTGAATCTGCTCCCGGAAGAAACGGATTCCAGCAAGGAGAAAATGCATCAAATAATGAAAGTTTAACAGGAAACTGTTCATGTGTTAAGGAATGATGTCCACAATTTTTATAAACACACACACACACACACACAGAAGGACCGTCTCTTCTGAGTCATGTGTATGACAGAATGGGGAGGGAACTAATAACCGATACAATTAATGTGTTTGTTTTTAAGACCATTATTACTTGGGGGCTTTCCCTGTGTCTAAAATAACCGTGGGACCCTTTCCACTGCCCCTGATACAACCAAACTTGGCCAGAATGGCTTCAAACCGAGCAAACACAAAGTACTTATAAATCCCCCAGGTGAGGGGGAGCTCACACCCCTCACTGCTGTTTTTCTTAGGAAAGCTGGAATCCCTAAGGGACCATCAGCTCCGTATTGACCAGAGTGCTAGAAACGGACACTGTCATGTCCCCAATGGTCACATACAAATTAGGACATTTCAGCAAGCTATTGGGGACGTTCTTATTTTGCAACAGCTTTAAAACTGGGCATAGTCTCTGAATCGGGAATTTGACTCCAACAAAATAATTTAGATTTTCACAATGATTTTGCTAAATGAAAAGCTGACTGTGAAATGCTCACAATCATGGAAAAACCCCGAAAACAACGTAAATGGTCAGCAGCAGGGAGACAGTGAACCCATCCTTCCCATTTTGTTATAGTGTGTGTCCACTGAACCCTACCGAGGCTTTAAAAAGGAAATAATATGCAGACCACAAATATGGCGAGGGGCCTGGTGTGGGGTCACACGGAAATACTGACAGATGCGGAAGGCGGGCTACCGAGAGCACAGCTGTTGCAATTCCCGTGTGGAGGCCTGCGCTCACGTGTGGGGATGTGAAAGAACACACGAAAAGCGTGTACACCACCAAGTGACCAGCGTCTGCCTCGGGAAAGGTGGGCCAGGTGCGATTCCTACTTTCCTGCTTCTTAACAATAAGTACTTTTAAACAATAACTAGCATGTCCATTAAGGACGGAAGACTAATTTTAAAATATTGACGTTTTGTAAATGCGCACATGGAGCTCTTCACTCTAGACTTTTCTGCGCAGGGTGGTGCTAACAGCTTCCTCAGGTTCCAATGGAGGAATTTTCCCATCACGTTGCCAAGTGTTGCGGGGGGGGCACTCACGGTGCTGCCCGTTCGTTCTGGGAAATGCCCCCACCCCGGCCCCGCTCTCCGGCTGTTCACTGGAGAAGGACGTAGGGTGAGCTGCCTGCCGTCTGAGTGCACAGAGGAACACACCGAAAACACACAGTTTCAGGAAAACCCGTGAAAAGCAATGCTATTCACCACGTGGAACTGAGAGTTGCACGCACAAATTGTTCTTCTTTCCAATCAAATAAAATACATTATTTCTAGGAAATCTCTTCATGTCCATTTTTTGAAAACTCTGTCCATTCTGGAACGTTCCCTGCCATTTCCTTACTCAGGTTGGGGCACCACGTCCCCCCACAACCTCAGTGGCTTCCACCCTTACTTCCATGTCAAGCTGAAACCAGGGACGGGATTTCCAAATTCCACCAGGGTAGAAAAATTAAATCCAGGTTTTACATGCGGTGCTCTTGCCAAAGGGACAGACACTTCCCATTGCTCCTGTGTGGTGGATTCTGTCCCATGGCCCCTCCTGGTACCAGCTGGAGAGAGACCTTTAGCAGCTCAGCCTGGGGTAATGACATGCGGGCCGGTAATCTCTGAATCTCATTACGGCTCCAAGTCGGGAGATAAATTCCAGCCGCATTTCTTCAGCATTTCCTCACATTTCCACAGGTCCTGCCTAGAAACCTCTGCCTTCCCCAGCTGGAAGTCCGCCCAGGGTCCTGACTACATGCCTCCCAACCTGTAGGGTCGATTTAATTTGTGTGGTCTCCATTCCAAAGGTTTCCTGTTAATTAATTAAAGTCTGGCGCGAAGTCTAATTGAGAAGCCAGGTTTTCCTTATAAGAAAAATGTCTTTCTCTTTTCTTTTTCATCTGAGCAAAAGATCTGGGGGGGGGGGGGGAAATAGCCGAGGATCAAATGAGCAGCTTCTCAGGATGAGCGGCAGAACCCCGCAGAAGGAGGGCAGGAGGCCGTGCGTGGCTTTGAACTTATGTCAAGTGGTGAGCAGGGCAGGCCAGGCTGATCCAGAGAGACACCCGTCCTTCCGAGTAACACAGCGTGCTGGGGAGAGGGATGCCGGGCAGAGCTCACCTGAGACCTGGCCTTCGGTTCTCTTTACCTGTCTAAATCTCGGCCCTATGCAACAAAGCGGGATGGCTTATGAATTATAAATAGCTAAATGTTGCTTCGAGTAGAATGGGCTTTTTCACAAAAGGAATTCGATGACTGTGGCAGCCTTCTAGTTGTTTGGTTCTGACGTCCTCTCAGTAGTCCCCAGTCTCTCATCTGAGGGATGTGACTCTTTGGGGCCCCCTAGAGACGGAGGTAAGTCATACGGCGAGGTGATGGCACGGGTAAAAAGTAGTAATGTCGAAAGACAAGTACAGAGCATCTTTCTTTTTAAGCAAAATGGGTGCTGTCCCTTCGATGAGTGTTCTGGGCTCAATGATGCGCCCCTCAAAATGCGAATGAGGAGTCCCTGACCCCCACTATTTCAGGATGGGGCCGTATTTGGCGAGAGAACCTCCAAAGAGGTGGTGAGGTTAAAATAAGCCATAAGCGTGTGTCCCAATCCAGTCCGACCTGATCAGGGGAGGAGCTGTGGACTCACGGAGACGTGAAGTTTCTCTGCGCGCAGGGGAAAGGCCGCGTGAGGACGCGGGAGGGAGGCGGCCGCCTCCAGACCCAGGGGAGGGACCTCGGAGGAAACCGACCCTGCTGACACCCCCGGACCGTGAGAAGATCAACGGCCACCGTGGGAGCCCCCCCGTCTGTGGCAGCCACAGCAAACTCACATGGTGGAAAACGTCAGAATGCATGACCGCCAGCCTCGAGAGGTGCCAGGGCTCTGCCCCAGCCCTGTATTTGGGGTGCAGTTCACAGGGACTTCAGCCTTCCGTGTGCTTGCCATTGTACCTGGAGTCACCGCGGCAACCCCAGTATATTCACCCCTGCGATCACAACAGCATTCTGGACGCTAGAAAACTTCAGCACCTGGGCACCTCGGTGTTTGCGCCGAACCGCCTCACCTAGGCAGGTTGCTTGACAACCGCGGCCGGGACCTTGCGTTTGAAGGTGTGCCTCCGCGGCGGGGACTCTGATAAATCCAGGAAGGTGGGGCCGTTCTGACCCTCGGAGCACACACGTGGTCATGTGGCCGAGGCCGCACCCCGCAGGGCCCCGCGTCTGGCCAGGAGCAGGGCCTGCTGCGAGCGGCCGTCCCAGGACGTCCTCTGCGGGTCCCAGCGAAGGCGATCGTCACAGCGGCAGCCAGGAAGGAGGGCTCCGACACGAGCCGCCCGGGGCCTCAGCCTGCAGCTCCCGACTCAGACACACAGTCCCCCGTGTCCCTTTCCTTCGTCAGGCCACTGGACCCCTCACCACCTTTTCAGTTTCCCTGCAGCTGCTTCAAGCTCCGGCTGCAGTTTACAGGAACCCCTTCAGGTTCAGATGCCGCCCAGGACCCAGGTTTCTGGGCCCACTCCCAGCTGATACCCGCCAAAAGTGCCACGAGCCACATTCCAGTCTTCATCAAGAAATAAAGGGCACCTGTCCACTGCTGACCCTTCGCAGATGCCCACGCCTGCTTGCCAGTCCCCTGAGACTTGTTACTCGCCCCCATTCCCTCCCAACTATGGTCTCCACTTGTCTGTGAGGTAGGACCCTCCCCTCCAAACTCTACAGAACATTCTGACATGGGAAATATTCCTGTTGCTATACAACATCCTCTCTTTCCATAAGGGGAAAAAAAAAAAGAATCTTTCCCGGGTGCCAAGTGCAGAGGCTAAATAATACCCAGTGTAGGAGGCGGCGGGAAGGAAGAGAGGAAGGAAGGGAGGGGGCTCAGGAGGCTCCGACGTGGAGTCATCTGCTTATTCTTTGAGTCGCCAGGTACTGAAGAGAGATTTAAGGGACCCGGGGTTAAACCCCAACCTTCAAGGATAACCTTTCTGAACACAGGTCTATCTAGCTCCACCCATCGTTAGGTTAGCATATGAATGTGTAATTAACTGAGTCTGCACCTTCACCCGCTCGAACCCGCATGCTCTAGCAGCCTGTGCTGGTGGCACTGACCCGGCGGGAATGAGCTGTGGCCGGTGGCACCCCCCCCCCCCCAACAGCTGGTGGTCCAGGGAGTTTTCTGTCCGCACAAGTAAGAGCTGCACCCAACTGGCTCCTGACACTCCCCCATCCACCCGAGCATCAAAGCCTCCCTGGGAAGGTGAGCCCCGCCCCACTTGAAATGCCCAGCCCCTTCTTGCTCGTCCTGGGACCGAACTCCTTCAGGGCCCACGGACTGACAGCCCGGCTGCAGGGCTCCGGGAAGCAGCGGGTCCGACCTCGAGACCCAAGGCCCTCGGAAGGCATTCGACCAGCGCTGGCGTCTGCCTCTTTAAATTTTTGGACGGCATCTCCTATCTTTTTAAACATTCCCAACTTTGACGCTCTGCACAGTGGGCATTAGATCAATGTTTACTGCGTTTAGTTTTAGATAATTAAGGTCATGTACTTCATCATCCGAATGTTGATGTTTAAACACTGGCTTCAGGGCTGCTATCTTTGACCTGGTTTACAACTCTGAGACTGGAGAAGTTATTCTCAATTCTTTTAACCGAGTCAGGGAGAAGGAATTTTTCTTGTGGATAGATGGGGGATGTAAGGGCTTTCTGTTCTGTAGGATTATTACTTTAGCATGGGAAAGGCCCTGGAAGGTAACGATCTAATCCTTTCCCTCCGAAATGTCAGGTTATCGGACGGAATTCTACCTGCTCTTCGATGCTGGCTCATCGGCGGGCAGACAATACCGTGGTATTTAAATGGCAAACCCGCTCCCCAGACTCGACTGGAAAACCCTTTCTCTATTTCCCCTGAGTCTAGCCGATTTCTGGTCTTTAAAACTAGGAATTGCAATGAAAGGGGAGGAGCGAATGCCCAGCATGACGGAAAGGGCAGGGCAGGCCGGCCGCCCGGGCGGGAGGAGCTTACTCAGTGCCGCTCTCCACCATCTGCGTGAGCAGGAAGATGCCGTCCAGGTTGATGAACTCCTGGGCGAAGGTGACGTCCCGGGACAGGCTGGCCAGGTCCTTCAGGGCTTCCAGCTTGGAGTCCATACTGGACGACTGGATGCGCTCGTGCAGCTGCTGGGCGTTCTGGGCCTTCCCGAGGCAAAGACAGAGGAAACCACAACGAGGAAAAAAATTAGTGTCTCCTCCACCCGGACACAAAGACACAGAGGCCCGAGGCCCAAGACAACAGGTACACCACGCCACGGCGGGTTTCCAGCCACAGCGGTTCCACCTGCAGGCCACATCGGCCATTCACCGGGGGAACGAGCCGGCTGCCTTCTTTTGCTGGGCCCGGACTTCCATCCCTCGCAGACGAGAGCCCGCCCCAGAAACAGAACAGGTGTGGCAGTGAGGACGGGAAGACGGGGAACGTGTTTACCTTTTAAGTCAAATTTTTATCTACACACGACAGCAAGCTGTTTGCTTAGTTAAGCAATTACACAAATTCGTGCAGCGTGTTCACCAGTTCCGCCAATACTCCGAGTGATGACTGCCTACACACGGCGCTCGACAGGCTCGTTAGGCACTCCCAAATCTTTCTGGGTCACTGACCATCTTCCAGCACAACACCGCAACGCTTCTAACTCTCGCTTTCCGACAACACCAGTTTCCCATACACTGGCTGCTTACTGAACGAATTTCTAGCAGAATAATGAGGGAACCAAACCAGTAGCTTCGCCTAGAACTAGGCTACTTTTCGAGGCGTCGGCAGCGGGCTCGTGCGGGCGGGGCGGGAGGGGATGGAAATACACTGGACAAGCTGAACACTTCTGGATGGTAACTTGTCACCTCTCCTTCTCTTTCACCCAGGGAAGGTTTTCCTGTCTTTTAGTCAGGGCAGGTGGCAAGAGAAAAAATTATTCAATGTTCCTGCCTGTTTTTTTGTTTGTTTGTTTGTTTTTTTGCTTAATAGAAGTCAGTCCACATCTGTTGTCATTATTCTCGAACCCCAGCTTTCCATAGTCGAAGCACTCTGCCTTCCTCACACTCCCCCCCTTGGGTGCTCACTCCCTCCTTTGCAGTGACATTGCACTGCAATGCACTGAGGAGGGAGGCAGTGCAATGCATTGCATCAGAGACGGGGGAAGACGGTGTTTGAGCCCAACAGTGAGGTTCTCCTCCTGCACAGAAGCTGAGTAGACATATCTGAGGGCCCGAGCGCGCTGTAACGGAGTGAAGGCTGCTCCGTGGAGAAGGGGGTGCGCACAGGTCCCGGGAGCAAAGGGGCGCCACCTGGGCGGGCTCCGCAGCCACAGCCCCGCCCTCCACGCCCAGCTGCACCCTGGCTGTCGGTGGCCCTGAGGACAGAAGGGGAGGCGACAGGAAAACCAAGGCCACGCTTTAGGGACCAAGACGAGTGAACCGCACGCCCCTGTCACTCGGTCAGAGGCAGACTGTGGTCTGCCATGTACTATAACCAAACACTGACACTGCATCAGAAACCAGAAGAGAAGAAGAAGAAAGGAGGAGAAAGAGAGCCCTCCCTCCGCATTCATTCACCGATCCTCAGTTATGTGACGAATTGCTCAAACCCTGAATCCCGTATTTTAAAAAGGCATAAAAGAAAGCTGAGCAAGAATCACTTTATCTTTTTAAATTGTTCAAGGATATACTAGTCTCTAAAACTACCAAATGGAGGTACAGCATTAGCATTACCATATAATACTTAACCCAAGTGAATCACTTTAAATTCCTAGAAAACCACATCTTTCTTCAAGCAGAAAGTCGCACTGACGTGAGTCACGATGACAACAATCAGTCCCCAAAGGGACCCACTGTCATTACCAGTGTTCGCCCCCACTGTTTGGTGCTGCTGGCATCGGTGCTGGAAACATCACCTGGCGCTCTCTGGGGGCCACGACTGTAAAGGTCTTCATGGAGGAATCCCCGTAACCTGCACAACAGCCCCAGCAGGCGGGTGCCTTCCTCATCATTTCACAAAGGCCACCGAAGTTCAGAGAAGTTAAGTCGTTTGCTCGCGGTCACACAGCTTGCAGCTCTGGAGCTAAGGTAGAACCTGGGCAGCTGGACCCTGGACAACGGGCTGGAAAGCAGGGGGTCTCAAACTGCTGCATGAACAGAGCCACCTGGTGGGCTTCTCAAAACACGGAGTTCTAGGGCCTCACCTAGAGCTTGGGCTCCGCGGGCCTCAGGTGGGGTCCCCGAAGTCGTATATGTAGTGAGCTCCCAGGTGCTGCTGCTGGTCCAGAATCAGGTGCAGGGAACCGCTGTTCCAAACCACTATGCCCCGCCCCCATCTCCTGGTCACATTGGGACATACAGCCCAGCACCCCTGGGTGCGGGGCTCTGATTCTGTCTCCTAACTACCACGGGTCCCCGGCGGCGGCACAAACGCCCCTCCTGGCTGACTGCACCAAACAGGCGATCTGCTTGCCCGTTCAGAAAGTGTCTACATCTCAGCAGAAACGTTTGCTAAGAAAATCAAAAGAGTAAGTCACTAGTGGTGGGGTCCAGGCAGGTGAGATTTGTCCTAGCATTCTTTCCACTTGTGTGTGTTTGAAATGCTACCTGCTTACACGTACAGAATTAGTTCATACACACCCAGAGGCGTGCCCAGAGACAAGAGAACCCTGAAGAGGACAAGTGTCACAAGCAGAGGAATGAAGGCCGAGGCCCCAAACCGCAGGACCGCTAACAGGCTGCCGCTCTGGGACCCAGAAACATTCCTCCAGGACAGTCACACACCACAGCCACACCCTGCCGACTGCCGGGGTCGCAGCCAGGGAGTCACACCCCGTCGCCACGGGAAACAGAGTCCTCCACATGGCGTCCCCCTGTGACGGCCAGCTCCCGGATGCCCGGGCCGAGAAGTTCCTGGGGGGCCACCCGCCCTGTCCTGTGCTCAACACACTGCCTGGGACCCAGCCACCTGCCCTGTTGGCACAGTGGTATCCTTTTTTTTTAAATTTTTTAAAAATTTATTTTTATTTGCAGTTGACACACAATATTATATTAGTGTCAGGTATACAACATGGCAATTAGACATTCACATACGTTACGAAGTGAACCCAGCAACTCCACTTCTGGGTATCTGTCCGGAGGAATCCAAAACACCGAGTCGCACAGACATGCAGCCCCATGTTCACCGCAGGGGCATGTACAGTATTCACCATCGCCCAGACGTGGGAGCCGCCCGGGTGCCCGTCAGTAGACCAGAGGATAACGAAGACGTGGTCCAGTCAGTGGACCGTGACTCGGCCGTATAAAGGAATGAGAGCTGGCCCTCGGGGACAGCACGGACAGACCCGGAGGGCGCCGTGCTGGGTGAAATGCGCTGTGGAGTTCTCCTTCAAGCCGGGTGCTACTCCTCTCCCTGGGTGCCACGAACTGAGGAGTGAACGCTTCATAAAGACGTGGCGTTCCCGCAGTGTTTGCTGTGGGTGAATTTTCCTCTTGCTTTTGAGACACAAGTCAGCCCAGAGGGGACGCCTCACTCACGCGAAGGCAGGATTGTGGGGAGCTGGTGGGTGGGGGTGAGTAACCCCTGGAGGCGGAGCGAGAATGCGGGCTGACCAGCTCTGTTACTGATTAGCACGGCCGCCTCCCTGAACTTCTCCTAACCTCTCTTGGCCTCGTTTTCCCCACCAGCCCACGGAGGAATGGTGATGAGGTCACGTCTGAGGTGCCCTCCAACCCCCCAGAGTCACAGACGGTCTCTCAGGTGGGCAGGCACCCTCATCACCGAGTCTCCCGGGAACAGGTGCCAGACCGGAGTCCGTCCCCCAGACGTGACCCCCAATCAAAACATTATACCCAACTTCTGGGACATTTTTACGACAGTATTTCTGTAGTTGGAACCAGAAATGCTTTCTCTTTACCTTCTCTCATTTCTAAATAATCTGGATATGAAACTCTCATTATAAAAATTAGCATGGGAGGGAAAGTTTTATTATTAAAATAGCAGGTGTTGGTAAGGAAAATGTACTTTTTCGGCATCACGTATGGCCAACAATCAGGCTGCAGAGAATTCTGCTTGGGCTCTTGATTCAGACAAGCCCTACGGTTACTCATGTCTAAGCCGGGCCCCTGCAGAATCAGACAGAATCCTCACTCCTGACGGAAGAGCTCTTCTGGAAGGGGCACCCTGGGTGCGGTGCTGTTCTGTGCGTGTGGGGTACAGAGCCGCCGACACAGCAGCCGGTGCCCGCCGCCCTGGGGCTTACCCCCCACAGGTGGGGGCGAGCAACAGAACAAGGCAGCAGTGAGGACTAAACACCGAGGGGACTGACAGCAAAGCTTGAATTGGGAATGGGACAGAGAAGGGACCAGCGACTTTTTGAGACAGGGCAGTTTTCCGGGGCCGGCAGCCTGAGGAAGTGACATGTCAGCACAGAGCTGGTCGGTAAGAAGCAGCCAACCACACGGAGGAGGAGGAGGAAGCTGGATTTCATTTTTTGTTTTGGTGGCAGGATTTATGTTTTATTTATATGTTCACCAGCACATATTTTTATTTTTCAGTTACAGCTGACACTCAATGTTATTTTGTATTCATTTCAGGTGAACAGTCTAGTAGTTAGACATGTATGTAACTTACAAAGTGGTCCCCCCAATAAGTCTAGCACCCGCCTGGCACCATGCATTGTTATATAAATACTATTGACTGTATCCCCTGTGCTGTGACTTTCCATCCCCGTGGCTATTTTGTTACTACCAATCTGTACTTTTTAAAGATTTTATTTATTTGTTTTTAGACAGAAGGGAAGGGAGGGAGAAAGAAGGAGAGAAACATCAATGTGAGGTTGCCTCTCATGTGCCCCCCACTGGGGACCTGGCCCACAACCCAGGCCTGTGCCCCGACCGGGAATCAAACCAGCGACCCCCTGGTTCGCAGGTCAGCACTCAATCCACTGACCCACACCAGCCATGGCCAACCTGTACTTCTTAATCCCTTCACCTTTCTCACCCAGCCCCCCACCCCTCCCACCTGCCACCATCATTCTGTTCCATGTCTTCGACTCTCTTCACTTTTGTTCGTTTTGTTCTTGAGATTCCACATGAAGTGGAGGGGTTTCTGGGCGGTGGGAAGGGTTAGCACAAAGGAAAAACAGGAGGAGCAAGCCTGGGTCGTT